ATGCACATCCAAGTGAATATCTATCTATCTATCTATCTATCTATCTATCTATCTATCTATCTATCTACGTCTTTTCATGTTGAATTAAATATAGTCTAATGTTAATTATGTTTTATGAATATGTCCTGAAAAAGGTCTGAAAGAACAAAAACGTCCGATTTACCACATTATATTAACATTAAAACAGCATAATTACATATTAGGATAAAATTTGTTTTTTTCCGTATATTTTTTTTCATATATATATATATATATATATATATATATATATATATAAAAAGGGTGATTCAAGTGACTCTCCCGTTTTGTAAAATTATAGTTAGACGGGAAGGTCCTTCATGCATACATGAATTTTTTTTGAAAATTAGATAACACACAAACACACACACATACACATATATATATATATATATATATATATATATATATATATATATATATATATATATATATATATATATATATATATAATTTGTTCAAATCTCATTAATCTTATAAGAGAACTTCCATTCTGTAATAAAAAAATTATATAAAGTTCTCTTTGAGGATATTTTTTTAATAATCTTTTATAGATAGAATATTTTTGAATTATTTTAAACGGATTAAAAGAAGTAAATCTGTAATTTTTAAGGTTTTATTGAAATTTTATTTAAGTTTCACATGTCCTCCATCATTAGCAATACAAAGGGTAATACGATTTTGCAGTTTGGAAAAAATTTTTCCAACTGATTTACAGTAATGCCTGAAATCACATTAGTTATTTTAGATATACTTAAAACTAGGTACATTAAATTTTATAACATTTTTTTACAGATTATTTCTATCGCAAATACAAATAAAGTTATAAATTTTTTAAATGCACACGAACTTTATTGACATTTAGAATATATATTTAATCTCCAAATATATATATATACGTAAATAATATTGAACATATAATATGGATTCCAAGATGAAATTAAATAATAAGGACAGACCGGGTAATATAACATTGAAATCAACTGGTCTAAAAAAGAAATTTTAAAAAATATACATGATCGAATATACCTTTATTTTAGAAAATGTATTATAACTGATTGATATATATATATATATATATATATTATATATATGTGTGTGTGTGTGTGTGTGTGTGTAAAAAAAAATGTGTGTATATAAATATATATATATATATATATATATATATATTGGGTAAATATTCGAGAAATTTTATTTAAAATCTTGCGTTCTTTTATGCAATTTTCTCAATAATATTTTTTCTAGAATATTTCTACAAATAATGGAAATAAATAATCTCTGATTATTTTATTTTAAAAACAAAAAAATAAAACAGAAAAGAGCGTCTTAATATACAGGTGTGCACAAAATAAATTTAAGCAATAAATTAATATATCAAAAATGAATAAAAATCCATTGATATATATATATATATATATATATATATATATATATATATATAAATATATTATCAAAAAAATATTGAAATTAGTAAAATAAATTATTTTTAATTTATTTTAAAGAAAAACTTTTCATTAAATTTAATTATACATATATATATATATATATATATATATATATATATATATATATATATGAAGAACAGTAAGATATATAATTTATATATTCTTATTGATAATTTTTATTTTTTGTTAAAGAATTTTTTATTTTATTTTCTATTTACATACATTATTAATTTTATTTTTACAAAACAGTATTTCAATAAAATTTTTTTATTATAAATAATGTATTAATATATATATAGTACAGGTATAAATCCGTTGATATATAATCCAAATGGATCCTCGTAATAATAAACTAAATTTTAAAACTGATCCATAAAAAGAGCTCAATGTATTTATTATAACAGCATATAAATTATAAAATAGAAAAAAACAAAATTACAATTTTGATAGACATTTAGAATGAAAGGAAATTCTTTTAAATAAATATAGGTATATTTAGCTAATTCTCTATTATATAAAATATATATATATATATATAAACTTAAAAACATAGGTGGCGCTGGTGAAAAAACTTAATTATAACATACACTTTTACAGACACAAATATATTATATAACCAATAAATTTAAAAAATGACCAAGAGATTTTAAAGAAAAGACAAAATGTGTAAAATTTTCTTTTCATTTTTTTTTTGGGAGTAAAGTCTGATGATCTGCAGACCTTAAAAAAAAGATGTGGTGAAATAATTTATTACATGGAACCTTAAAGTGGTAAATTTTTTTTTATAAAAAAATTGGGAAAGGACTGAATCCTCTTCTTCTTCCAGACTGTGTTCTATAGCCTTAAATGTCAACTGGTCAGGAGAAGGACAACTCTGAATTCAAAACCTGCGGAGGGTCGTTTAGGGGACCTTGTGGCACGTAGTGCACCAGGTCTCTGTATTCGGCCCTTCAAAAAAGTATGGATGGTATGAACGAAACCTTCACCACTATAATCAAATCTCATGTGCTGTTGTCAAACTTTCGGTTTTCCTAGGAACCAGACATTTCTTTAAATTATTTTACGTCTAATTCGACTGGATAAAGTTCCAAATACGTATATAACATATATATATATATATATATATATATATATATATATATAAGGATATGATTGGTATAAAAGAATAAATTCCCTTAACCAACAATTACTATTCTTAAAAGATTTATTGCTCAATATAGTAGAATTAAATTTATTTAATTTATTTAAAAATTATAACATAAATATGTTATAAAATCACTAAAAAAAGCTATTTTTGTTTCAAACCACTTTTGTCTTAAATTTAATGTTGAATATAGATTGTTAGAAAAAAAGGTTTTAAAAAGGTTAAAATGTAATTAACCATATTTTCGTAAAGGAAAATTGTTCAATGAAATAAATTATCCATTAAGAAATTTAAATATTTGATATATATATATATATATATATATATATATATATATATATATATATATATATATATAAAGACATTTTATATTACACATTATTTTTATGATATGAGAAATATTTAATAAATTTCTGTTTATAATAAAACCACAATTAAATAACATTTATTGGCCTGAATGTAAAAGAAATTTTCATAGGAAATGTTTATTATAAACAGAGCATTTATTTAAATCCTTGTATCTATAAAAAAAAAAAGAATTAAACATAAAATGTCTTTATTAAAGGTAGACTTTGAGGTTTTAGCCATATTATATATATATATATATATATATATATATATATATATATATATATATATAAATAAGAAAGAACAAAAAGAACATGCCTAATTGATATCTTAGCAGTTATTTTTTATTTATTTATTTTGAAACTAGATACAATAGTCATTTGCAAAAATTTTAATTATTTTCTTTTTAAAAATATGATTCTATCGTCACAGATCTATATTTTCAAAATTTGTTTAAATTTAATCAAATTTAATTATAAAATTAAACTTAAAATGCAAAAAATCAAATAATTTTTTCACCATAGGGATAACCTTCAAGAAATTTAATTTATAAGGTTCAGACAATACATATTACGAAATTTAGTGAGCAGGCATCCCTTTCTTACCTAAACTTAACTTTTTTTGTAATTAACATATTTGGGATACATAAGCTGTAATTTAATAATTAATTGAAATATTTTTCCACAATTAAATTAAAATAAATTGAATTTTTTCAAATTAACAACTTTGTATAAAAATGTTTATAAATTTAATTTCATTTTTGAAACATGGAAAATTTTCTATGTCCAGAGATAATCATATTCAAAAAAAGAAAAATAATTTTAATATTTGTTTCTATAGTTTATCTAGAATGTTTTTTTAAAATAAAAATAAACCTTTTGAAACATAAATATAAACACACACACACACACACACACATCTCAAACACACACACAACATATATATATATATATATATATATATATAATATATATATATATATATATATATATAAAATATTGCATTGACAACAAATTCTGATAATTATTTTTAAGACATTTTTTTGTTTATACATTCTTTTTTATAGATACAAATATTTAATTAAATATTCTGTTTATAATAAACAGTATAAAAAAATTGTCATTTACCATTTATTGGCCCTGAAAATTTGTTATTTTCATAGAAAATATTTTTATATTCACAATCTTTTATGTATCTACATATATGTGTTGAGTTTTTGTATATGTGTGAAAAAATACATTATATTTTGAAAATTAAAATTCATCCAAATAGTTTTGATTAAATTGAACGTATTAAGGTCTGTCTGTTTAAATTTTTATTATATCTTTTAAATTTTTCGAATAAGGTGTTCTGTATTTTTCGATTATGTTAGATAAACTATAAATTGAAATTCATTTATTTTTCTTCATTTATTGACATTCCATTTTATTAATATCACATAGACACCACACTAGTTCTTGAAAATGACTGCGATGATCAAAATTATTTGAACAAAACAATATGAACTTCGAGCACAATACTCGACACCTAGTTGGAATTAATAAAATAAAAATTTATAAATTTTTATTTGTTTGTATATATGTATATAATGTATGTATATATATGTATCTATCTATCCTATCCATCTATCTATCTATGATGAATTTTTTTTAAGGTATATATAAAAAAAATAAGGTTAAACTGTTAAAAAATAAATTCTTTAGATTAATTTGGATCTATCTATCTATCTTTTATCTATCTATCTATCTATCTATCTATTATCTCATGTTCAAAGTTTGTTCCAGTTTTACTATATTTATGGATTAACTGCTAAAAAAAAGAGAAAAAAAATCTCATTTGGAATATCTATCTATTTATTATCTATCTATCTATCTATCTATCTATGTATGAAAAAATTGTTTTAATAGTTATTGGAATATATTTATAGGTTAAACTAAAAAAAAAAATTAACCTCATTTGCATCGATTATAAAAGTTTTTAAAGGTATCCTATATTTATCGCATATACAAAATTTCTTAACAAAAGCAACGAATTCAAAAGGACTCACAAAAAATAATATAAAATAAAAAAATAAATATGAACATCGGCAAATTTACGGATTACAAAACATGATTAATTCGGAAATTTAAAAAAGTTGGAAAAATTAATAGAAAAAAATCTTGTCAATATTATTCAACCAGACGTATTCGAAAAAATTATTACTCCCGAAATACACCTTTTTTATATATATATATATATATATATATATATATATATAAAGATTTTATTTAATAGGCCAATTAATGATCAGAAAGAATAACGTGAACAACAAAATGATAACAATATTGGCAATAGGATTGAAGATATTTATGATCGGCCTTTTGACTAAATTAAAGAAGTCCACGAAGATGAATGATTTAAAGTCGGCATATATATATATATTGTTATTCTTTTAAAAGAAAAACACAGACTTTAAATACCATTATAATAATTTATTCAAACCAGAGCCAATGAAATAAATTATTATAATGGTACTATAAATATATTTTTTTTCTAATTTAAAATATTAGCTCTGGATTTACATTGAGCTCTCAGGATTTCATCCTCCTTGGGATTACCCATCCGGATTACCAAATTCTTCATAACTTATATATATATATATATATATATATATATATATATATATATATATATATATATATATATATATATATATATATATATACATGCATGTATGTATGTATGTATACGCATCTGTATATATCAATAACACACATACCATAGATAAATAAGACCAAAAATCCTTGTATCTAATAGTTCAGTGAAAGGAATTCTGAATAAGCCCAATAGTTGGACAATTTTTATACTAGTAGATTTTATAATCATTTTCAATGAAACGTTCATGCATAAGAGAATTACTGTAAAACAGAATATACATATATATATATATATATATATATATATATATATATATATATATATATATATATATATATATGTGTATATAAAATTTTTTGAAACATGGTTAAAACTGTTAGGAACAAAAGAACCATATTTTAAATCAATTAATTTATAATATTAATGATCTGTAAATTTACATTGAGCACTATTTTGTAAAAAATAAAAATATCTATAAGAACACCGGATTATATATCTTACTGTTTTTCTTAAAAATTTAAATACATATATATATATAAAAATAAATATATATATATATATATATATATATATATATATATATATATATATATATATATATTTCATTAAAAATTTTGGCAGACGAGGAAGATTTAATCTTTTATTGAGTTTTTCAACTTCCTTGTCGCCCGTTTTATGAACGAAAGTAAAAAACACACACACACACACACACACACACACACACACATATATATATATATGGCTCAGGCTCAAAATCTAATATTCCATTTTACATATTTTATTACATTGGAATCGCAATCACGATCAATTCATCAGAACATCAAATTCAAAAAGAAATCATAAAATAAACCTGGATTTTATCCTCTTGAAAAATCTCTCTCTCTCTCTCTCTCTGGAACTCTCTTTATATATATATATATATATATATATATATATATATATATATATATATATATATATATAAAATGACCAACTAATATTAAAATGAAGGAATCCTATTTTATTAAAAATAATTATAATATATATATATGTGTGTGTGTGTCTGAGGGTGTGTGCGTACTCGTGTGTGTGTGTCTGTGTCTCTGTGTGTGTGTGTATGTATGTATTTGTGCTGACCTCAATGTCCGTATGACCACAACCCATACATTCAGTTAAAAGTCAAAATAAAATCATCCTTGACAATGGCTAAAAGCATAATGCTTTGGTAAAACGCGAGAAAATAGCTAATGTATTTGCCGAAAGTGCTTGGGACAATAATCACAATGGTCAATTTCTACACTGTCTTTGGGCCCATTTGAAGAAAACTGTAAAAAGTTTAGAAAAATCTGAATACATAGCGATAAAAATTTTCCTGTTTCCATTACAAATTGTAATACACCCCCATGCACACTCACACACACATATATATATATATATATATATATTATAAATTAATTGAATTAAAATATTTTAAAATTATTTGCGAAAAAAACATAATTGAAATCAATTAATTTATAATATTAAGGCACTGTAAATTTACATTGAGCGCTATTTTGTAAAAATAAAAATATCTATAAGAACACCGGATTATATATTTTACTGTCCTTTCTTTATATATATATATATATATATATATATATATATATACAGTGTAACCCGGATATAAGAGACCCGGATATGAGAGAAACCCGGATATAAGAGAGATTTTCTCTGGTCCCAAATTAGAGCCTGTGTTAGTGTATATAAAATAGACCAAACCCGGATATAAGAGAAACCAGGATATAAGAGACTTCTCCTGTCCGACAACTCTTTTATATTCAGGTTACACTATATATATATATATATATATATATATATATATATGAGAAATATACATAATATAAAAAGGCTCAAACACGAATATAATATATATAAACATTATATTATATATAAACAGAGCATCTACTAAAGATATAAGTATCCACTAGAAGCTGAACGTTTAAGGGTATTTTATTCGTTTTATATATATATATATATATATATATATATATATATATATATATATATATATATATATATATATATATATATATATATATATTATCAAGTAAAATGAGATTTTAATTCTAGGATGTTAAAAACAATATTTTTTCCTCGAAAAAAAGGAAGAATTCTGCTCTGGAAATTAAATTAATCTTTCACTTGCCAGTAGTCTAACATCGCCGGAGGAGACACATTTGTATTGTCGAAACATAATTGTAATTGTGCAGCGATTTTTAACATGTTTTGGTTTTAATATCCCCCCAAAAATAATCAAATTTATACATACATATATATATATATATATATATATACACGTGAGTGTCCAGTATACACATGAACGTTTATATATATATATATATATATATATATATATATACATGAACGTTTATATATATATATATATATATATATATATATATAATTATTTGGAAAAAATTTATAACATAAGTATGTTATAAAATCACTACAAAAATAGCCATTTTGTTTCAACACACTTAATGTGTATGTGTGTGTGTGTGTGTGTGTGTGTGTGTGTGTGTGTGTACATAAGTGATCCCATACCTTTTCACTATCATTAATCTAAATGAAATCAAAAAACGAAAACTTTTAGAAAGTTTTTGGGATGATAATGTCGAAGTGTTGAAAAAAAAAGACAAAACCCACAGGAATTTTTTACTTTATAATACACACACACACACACACACACAAACACATATATATATATATTTATATATATATGTATATATAAATAAAAATAAAAAGAACAGTAAAATATATAATGCGGTGTTCTTATAGGTATTTTTTTATTTTACAAAATAGTGCTAATGAAAAACAAAAAGCATTAATTTGGACAAAAAGAAATTAATTTAATTGATTTAAAATATGGTTTTGAAAACACATTTGATTAATAAATGTTTCAAAATAGAAGCTAAAAAAGCCCTCATTTAATTTTTCAAAAAAAAAATTAAAATATTCCATTCAATCAATTTATCTCAAGCGAAAAGATATAAAAATGGAACTAATGCTTTTACAATTAAAAGCAAAATTAAATTATGGATTTTTTTCTATTTTAAAGAAATGGTTAATTTCTGTAAACAAAAAAAATAACATACAAACACACACACACATACAACACACATATATATATATATATATATATATATATATTATTTTATTTGAATGGATTAAATATGAAATCAAATGTAAGGTAAAACAATACTTTTGTTTAAAATTGTTATCCAATTTTTCTTTTTAATTAATACACTTTTGACACACTGCCGAAATTTTTGATGATCAAAAAATGTGCTGATACATGTATAAAACAGTCAGTATATTCAGTTAAAAGTAAAATAAAATTAATTGACTTGTCGTTGACCCCTGAAGATTGCGTCTAAATAAAAAAACAGCTTGTTTTCCTCTAATTATTGACTTCAATGTTCATTATATATATATATATATATATATATATATATATAACAAATATGTGTGTGTGTAGTTCATATATATATATATATGTATATTTTTATATATATATATATATATATATATATATATATATATATATATATATATAGATAGATGAAACAGTACTAAATTAAGAAATTTTAACTTCCAACAGAACATCAACTCAAGTTTTATAAAAAAATGAAATGGACATTCTTACGGGAGAGTCTGATTATCATATTTACTCTCTTAATAAATACATTGAAAATCTTTTTCTGTGAATCAGTTTTAATATTTTATATTTATGAATTAACTTTTTACTTCCACCATATATATTTTACATTTATATATATATATATATATATATATATATAAATATATATATATATATATATATATATACATATATATATAAAAAATATATGTATATAATAAATATATATATATATATATATATATATATATTTATGAAAAAGTGACATTTATATATATATATATATATATATATATATATATATATATATATATATATATTATAATATTAACGGAATTATATGATTGGTACTTATTGAAAGATAAAATTTATCTGTGAATCAGTTTTAATATTTTTTATATTACTAGGATTAACTAGAAGATTCTTTACCAATTATATATTTACATTTTATATATATATATATATATATATATATATATATATAGAGAAAAGTGGAATATATAAATATATCTATATAGTCATAGAACATAGAAGTCAATTTAAGGAGGCAGTCTCTTTCATGGTAGATGCAATCGTCAGGCCATATATATAAAAAATTTTTA